GTCAGACGCAACTCATAGCGACCCCTCCTTGGGTTTCCAATGCAGTATCACTATGGAAGGAGATTGCCCCATCTTCCTTCCAAGGAGTGGCTGCTGGGTTTGAACTGCTAGCCTCTGGTTAGCAGTCAAGTGCCTTTAGGCACTATGCTACCAGAGCTCCTCATTCAATATTAGTACTTGCTAACATAGGAAAGGGAGCTCTGGTAGCATAGCGCCTAAGGCACTTGACTGCTAACCAGGGCTGGCGGTTCAAACCCACCAGCCACTCCTCAGAAGAAAGGTTGGGCAATCTACTTCCGTAGTGATACTGCCTCGGAAACCCAAGGAGGGGTCACTATGAGTCAGGTCCGACTTGACGGCACATAACAACAACAACAACAACATAGGAAAAGAGAAAGGTTCAGAATAGATAGGTTTTTTACACAAAGATGAAGCAGACAGGGTGTGTAAATATCATCTGAACCTTGGTTAAGAAATCTTCCCTGGCAAAACCACCCTGTGCTATGTTGTTCAAACTATTCCACCAGGTATATGGCTGCGGCAGTGGTTCTCAAACTTCAGGAGGCATCAGTATTATTTGGTGTGCTTGTTAAACTATAGGTGCCTGGTGCTGTAGCCAGTTTCTGACAGTAGGTCTGGAGTGGAGCCTAAGAATTTGCATTTTTAACAAGTTCCCAAGTGATGGTGATGTTGCTGGTCTAGGTAATACAATCTCAGAACCACTGGCTTAGGATTTCCTTCTGTTGAGCACCCAAGATTTGTTGTTCCTTCCACATGCTCAGTGAGGAAACCATGCCCATGCACTCACTGCTTTACCAAGATGGCTCAACACGGACTATGGACAACTCAAAACTTCAAAATTATTGGCCAATTCCTTGAATAGATCAATAGATTTAAAAATCAGTGTGACATACTTACCAAACAAATGAAATTATTCTTGAATACAATTCATCTCTGATCGGGCTTTCTTAAAAGTCTTGCTGCAGACTTACGGCACAGCACACGTTTTATTTGGTAGAATAGGAGAAATTCTATATTTGATATCTACATTCTACTTCAATGATTTGTAGAGTTAAAGATCATCTTGTCAGTTACCATTTAATATGTATATTCTGCATTTCTAATCTCTAATCAGCTAGAGAGTTGAAAGACTAAATTAAACAGTACTGGAAATGTTGACATAACTGAGGAAACAATGCCACCCACCCATTGCTATCAAGTCAATTCTGACTCATAGCAACCCTATAGGACAGAGTAGAACTGCCCCATAGGGTTGCCAAGGCTGTAAGTCTTCACAGAAGCAAACTGCCACACTTTCTCCCATGGATTGGCTGGTGGGTTCAAACCACCAACCTTTTGGATAGCAGCTGAATGCTTGACCATTGTGCCACCAGGGCTCCTTTCAACAATCCCACAGAATCACATGATTTAGATTTCCTCTATTTTGCCCAGGAATGCCTTTCACACATCAATTACTCTGCAGATCGTTATTAAATCCAGTTACTGTCATGTCAACCCTGGCTCACGGTGACCCTATGTGTGCTGGAACAGAACTGTGCTCCTTAAGATTTTCAAGGACTGATTTCTTAGAAGTAGATTGCCAAGCCTTTCTTCCGAGAGGTCTCTGGGGGGACTCAAACAGACAACCTTTTAGTTAACAGCAGGGTGTATTAATCATTAGCACCACCTAGAAAGTATTCAAACATACAGGGTGATTCTTTGTATCTCTTCACATGGTATTTGGCTGACTCTGTCTTTGATTAAATCATTAAATACATACAGATAACTGCTATCTTAAAAGCTAAATGAAGTATCAATTTTAAAAATCTTGCTTCCCATCCAAATAAACTGACTTGATTGAGATTTTGCTATGAATCATTTAGGTTTTTAAATATACCCTTTTCATAATTCATTCTGGTCTGTTGATAAGCTAAGAAGAACCCTAATCTTTGTCTAAAAAAATTTTTAAGGCAAAGAAATAATTTTTCATCTTGGGAGTTATCCAGTTAAACATAAAATTTCAAGGGCCTGTAATAGTTGAGGAGCTCTGGTAGCATAGTGCCTAAGGCATTTGACTGCTAACCAGAGGGCTGGCAGTTCAAACTCACCAGCCACTCCTTGGAAGGAAGATTGGGCAATCTACTTCCTTAGTGATACTGCCTTGGAAACCCAAGGAGGGGTGGTCATGAGTCGGATACGACTCGACAGCAGTGGGTTTGGTTTGGTTTTTGTAATAGTTGCTGAGTTGTAAGCCTTTTTCACTCCAACACAATTTTCAAAATTGATAAAATTGTCTTGTGAAGATAGTATGGAAGATAACAACAGCAACAACAATTCTAAGAAGCTCAAGTTATTCTTGAATACAGTGATTACTGCCTTGTATACAGTCAACTTTGCTATGATGATTAGAAATCTTTTCATGAAAACAGATTTTTCTGAAATGTGTGTTCTCTATTGATGTTTTTACAATACATTTCACTCTCTACAGAAAAGAATTCCCTGTATTCAAAATAACATTATAAACTATTTCTGAAATATTACAGTATAATATCCAACAGAATCACCATTATTCAACATATAAATGTGAACAGATGAAAAAATGGAAATTGCAAAGCTTCTTATGAATTTGCTGACCGTAGATCATGATAATGGATCCAAGCACAACTTTTGTTGCAAAAGAGAAAAAAAAAAAAGCGTGTTTCTGCTTGTGAAAAATTGAAGCAGGTCAATGGCAAATTTACCCAGTTTGATTAACATTTTCAAATGTTGTTGTTGTTTGCCGTCGAGTCGGCCCCGACTCATAGCGACCCCTCCTTGGGTTTTCGAGGCAGTAACACTACGGAAGTAGGATTGCCCAACCTTCCTTCCGAGGAGTGGCTGGTGGGTTTGAACCGCCAGCCTTCTGGTTAGCAGTCAAGTGCCTTAGCCACTATGCTACCAGAGCTCCCTTTTCAAATGTAGCATGAACTGGTTCAAATGAATTATATATCATGTTTTCTTGAACATTTAATGTTTAAGCAATACATAGGTTAATGCGTATTAGTTTCCTAGGGCTGCCATAACAAACTACCAAACTGGGTGGTTTGAAACAATAGAAATTTATTTTCTCCTTGTTCTGGAGACTAGAAGCTCACAATCAAGGTGTTGCAGGGCCATGCTTCCAAGCTCTAAGCAAAAATCCCTTCTTGCCTCTTCTAGCTTCTGGAGGTGTCATCAATTGTGGCTTTCCTTGATTTGTGGCACCATAACTCCAGTCTCTGCCTTTCTTCCCACATGGCCATCTTGCCTGTTTCTGTATCTTTGTGTCCAAATTTCCTCTTCTTTTAAGGATCTCTGTCATTAGATTAAAACTTGCCCTAATTCAGTATGAGCTCATTGTAATTCGATTACTTCTGCAAAGACTTTATTTCAAAATATGGTACTGAGGGTCAGGATTTCAACATATCTTTTGGAGAGACATAATTCAACCCATAGCATGTAGTATACATTTTTATCAAAAGAATGTTATTAGTTAATAAGGTTATTTACTTGTGTATGGCAAAACCAACTCTACTGTAATAAGGGGTGTCCATATTCATCAAAGAAAGTATTTGCCTTTTCACTCCAGTGCGTACAATCCTATGGATGTATTCAGGGCTGTGGGCCATTCCTAACATTCCTCATTAGCATTCTTTTTCATACAAAAGTATCTTATCAGAAAGCATTGAGAGTAAAGACACTGCAGAAATAATCTCACCTTGAATTACCCTTGCTTTATAAAAAAGTGCAAATAAATTGCAAGCCTTGATATTATAACTATTAATTTTAAATGATTTGGATCATAGCTTATAAGTAAATAACACAGAGATTGAAACTTGCTGCTCTAAAGAGTGCTACCACTCCTCACTCCTGCCCCATGTTCCCCCCATAAACGTAATAGCTGACAAACATCAGTTCTAGTAAATCAGTGTATTTGCATGCCAATGAGCCTCGGGAAGTGGGAAAAGAGTGCAAGAAGATGTAAACTAAGAGATATTATTATATAATTTACCAGGTAATGGAAACCTGTAAAATATTTTAAACACAAAAGCATTGTTCTTAGACAGTAAGGTCATGATGAACAGGATTATATCTAACTATGATCATGTTTTTCTAAGTGGCAGGCAAATCCAGAACCATAGCCAGTTCTCCATCAATGCATAAATAATTATGATACACAGTAAAATCCCACCCTGAAGCATTTTCATATGTTGTTTTGCTTGGGTAATGGATCCAAGCACAACTTTTGTTGCAAAAGAGAAAAAAAAAAGTATGTTTCTGCTTGTGAAAAATTGAAACAGGTCAATGGAAAATTTACCCATTTATATATAACCTCTTCTGCTTTTTTGAACATTATCCAATGATTTACACTGAGGATCTCTTCTGTTTTTTGAACATTATCCAATGATTTACATTGAACCTTTACATCAGCTTGGCCTGTAAACCCTAGTTCAAGGAAATTCAGTGTATTCTAATAAATGTTTTTGAGCTCTGTATTCATTTATACTCTAGAGAAAACAAATTTTTGAGCCTTGCTTTTAATTAACTATGTGAGGGAAAAGCATTCAGAACATCCGTTCCTACTTATTTTCTAAATCATCTGGAAATAAGGTTTCAGGAAATCCACGAAGGAAGAATGTGTAGTGTAGGCAACAGGGGACCCCAGTTTGCTGCCCCACCTTACTCTCCCATGCACTGGGCGTCTGGGGAGCTGAAAGTGGAGAGGCAGGTGGAGGGAAGGATGGGTGAGAAACAGTTCACTGACTTTGGAAGTCTGTATGAACTTACTTAGCAGGTTTTTTTTATCAAATAAATCTCAGTAAATCTAGGTAAAGTGAAAATAAGGACTTCTATTTGTGGTGAATGTTTATTTAGATCCAAGACCTAAATAAATGACATGGCTAAGTAACATATTTTTAAAAGTAAGTATTGTAAGCCTTCTCTTTCTTTCTCTGTTTTCAAGGACAAAATAGAAGAACAAAATGAAAAATACACTATTTTGGTTGATATTTTTCACCACTGCATGGACCTTCATTGATGGATCTGAAATGGAACAGGATTTTATGTGGCACTTGAGGAAAATACCCCGGGTTGTCAGTGAAAGGACTTTGCATCTCACCAGCCCCACCTTTGAGGCAGATGCTAAAATGGTGTTAAGCAAAGTGTGTGGCATTGAATGTCAGAAAGACCTCCCAGCTCCCAACCTTTCTGAACTAGAGGATTCTCTTTCATATGAGACTGTCTTTGAGAATGGCACTAGAACCCTGACTAGAGTGAAAGTTCAAGATTTCCTGGAGCCGATTCAAAATTTCACCACAAAAGGAGCATCTGTTAGGAAAAAGAGACAGGTTTATGGTACTGATAGTAGATTTAGCATCTTGGACAAAAGATTCTTAACGAATTTCCCTTTCAGTACAGCTGTGAAGCTCTCCACAGGCTGTAGTGGCATTCTAGTTTCTCCTAACCATGTTTTAACCGCTGCCCACTGTGTTCACGATGGAAAGGACTATATCAAAGGGAGTAGAAAGCTAAGGGTAGGATTGTTGAAAATGAGAAATAAACGTGGGGGCAAAAAACGTAGAGGTTCCAAGAGGAGCAGCAGAGCAGCTACTGGTGGCAACGCAAGAGAGGAGACCAAAGAGAACCTGAAGGAGAGAGCCAAAGGTAGAAGAAGAAAAGAACCTGGTCGGGGACAGAGAGCCACTGATGGGAGGCCTTCCTTCCAGTGGACCCGCGTCAAGAATACCCACATTCCAAAAGGCTGGGCAAGAGGAGGTGGGGGGGATGCCGCCCTAGACTATGACTACGCTCTTCTGGAGCTGAAGCGTGCTCACAAAAAGAAGTATATGGAACTAGGAATCAGTCCAACTATCAAGAAGATGCCAGGAGGAATGATCCACTTCTCAGGATTTGATAATGACAGGGATGATCAGTTGGTCTATCGGTTTTGTAGCGTGTCTGATGAATCCAAGGATCTCTTCTATCAATATTGTGATGCAGAGTTGGGCTCCACTGGCTCTGGGGTTTATCTGCGTCTGAAGGAGCCAGACAAAAAGAACTGGAAGCGCAAAATCATTGCTGTCTATTCAGGCCACCAGTGGGTGGATGTCCACGGTGTTCAGAAGGACTACAATGTGGCCGTACGTATTACGCCCCTCAAGTATGCTCAGATTTGCCTCTGGATTCATGGGAATGATGCCAATTGTACTTACGGCTAACAGAGACTGGAAATAAGGCCACGTGTTATCAAAATTGCATAGAAAACCAGTTCTGATTTTTGTAGCAAGATCACCCCTATGATTTTAGGAGATTAGGCCTGAATTTGAACCTATCAGTAGCATTTCAGCATTTTTACAAATCTAGTCTTTGGAAATTAGTAGATTTTCATACATTTAAGAAAATTTTAGGTACAGATATTGAAACTAGATGGGCACTACAATGCATGCACTTCTGTTTACATGGTAATAAGTTTCCTTTGTGGGAAAACTTTTGTTTTCTTCTGCCTTTTTAAAATTGAGACACTTTAACACTTCAAACTGGCAGTATAACTAAATATTATTTCTCAATTGATGTAATCTCAGGGTCTCACTCTAATAAGATTCTAACAGGATCAAGTTGCATACTAAATGTGAAATTGCACACACAGAGGTAGAAAGTAATAAGGATATCATCAGGTTACAAATAATAATCTGCAACATGTGTTTAATCTGATCTGAGATAGACCCACATTCAGTTCATGCCCTCAGTGTTTATACTGTGTTTTCTGTTGGGTGTGAGGAACTTTATTACTACTATTATTTTAATTTTGAACAATTACAAATCAGAAGGAAAAACAGCCTTTATGAACCAAACTATATCAATTGAAGGGTGCACTATTTAAAAATGGTTAGAAATACTTTGTTCTATGAGATAAATCCAGTTTGAAAAAAGGGGAACCTTTTAATATTTCAAGTTATTATTTAATGAATATGCAAAATTGGGACTTCTCATGTATGCATAATGAAGACAGTTCAAAAGTTATATCATGTATTGAAAATAAGATCATTTTGTTACACATCTTATTATATGTGAGGTCCTTCCCCCCTCGTCCCCCTTTAAGGACAAGGAATCTATGGTCTTTTTAAAAGAAAGAATCTTTTTTTTTCCCCTTGACAAACTTTAGCTTTCTTAATAGGCCATTGGCATATTATTTTGGCAAATCTAATTAGCAGTTTTAGGTCTGCCCTTTCCTTAAAGGAATATAATTCAGCAACATGATTTTTAATAGAAGGTTCTGGTCATTTTCATCAGGGACCAAGGCTGCACACCCAGTCTGGCCATCATAGAGTCTCAGCTGACCGAGTCCACTGGCTGCCCTGGGGCAAAACACAGAGTAGGCACTCAGTACACACTTCTTAAATACACAAGTATCTGCTGACTTGATATTAAAGGAGATTAGTTCATCGTATTATGCTTAAAGTGTTTAGTGATTTGTAACTGCACCAAAAATGCAGGAATCACAAGACTGATTTGTGGTCTGAGTTTGCTGGAAGTTTCTATGGCACACACAATCTTCTACTGTGTGTGACTCACCCAAGTCACTGATTCTGCCTGAGTCCAAATTTATTTTAGCTATTTTTTTTTTTAAAGAATGGGGTGTTATACTCTTAAACATTTTATTAGATTATAACAAAAATGACTTTGTGAATGGTGTCTGGAATAATTGAAATTCAATACAAGCGCACATTTTTTATAATGTGAATCTATTACAATGATTCAATAAAAATTTTTGAAAGATGAGCTATAACTCTTAGTGTATCTGTATACGTATCTTTTCAGGGTTCCCATTTAGTGCTCAGAAGGTATAAATTAACTGTGTCATTTATTTAAAACAACAAAATCATTCTGTTTAATTGCAAGCACATTTCCACTGAGTAGTACTTTATCGTTGTGCCTAATGTTTTGGTCCAAAAATTTTTTTCAGGGAAATATTCTACAATCACTAGAACCAAAAAATTTTTCAAGGTGAATTTAACACAGTTCACACACACACACACACACACACACATACACACAGAGCTCAGTGGATCTATTTTCTTCTTAGATTCTTAGAACATAATTTTTGGGATTAGTTAAATTCAGAGTAAATTAGGGTGCTTCATGTCAATGGTTTGTTGCATAAGGCTAAATACTAAATATACATCATTTCCTTAAAAGCATTGTACTATATAGATTTTCAATTTAAACAATTTAACTGCTTTGATTTGCAGAACTTTGTTTCTCCCATTCTATTCCCATTACCAATAAAACATGACTTATTGAGGAAAAGTAGGCCCACAAAATATATAGAATTAAATTCAGAAAGTTTTGCTTCACCTATTTTTTCTATTGTGCTTATCAGATTTGAAGTTGAAAATTAAATTGAATTCACTTAAACAAATATGTACACAGACACCTGATATCTACTGTGTGCAAAGGATTGCACTGACTTATTGGTTTGAAAACTTAGCAGTGGTTGAATTCAAGTAACTACTTAACAACTGAAATTTAAAATTACATCTTTTCCCCTCTACTCAATATCTTTTATTTACTTTATTTATCTTTCTTAAATGCACAAGTGTGTGGGCAGAGGATCCTTAACATTGGTTTTTCTTTTTGATATACTTCTTAGTTAAATCCCAGTGCCTCATTTTAAAAAGGACTGAAATGTTTGTGGATGGTCAAGATGAGAGTTGTGGACAAATATTTACCTTTGTTATTTGCAGACTAAAGAATTCTTTGATATTCTTATTTCATAGGAAAAAAATCTTAGGATTAGCAGAGACCATAAACATCATCAGTTTAACCCTCTATTTTAGATTTTAGTCCTCCTCCATAGCACTCCCTTAAATTGTCTGTCCAATTTTCATCACCTAAATATTATTTAGTTATTAAAATTAATTCAGGAACATAACTTATTCTTTCGGTTATAGTCTTATCAATAGTTCACTAATACCATAAAAATTTCATTGTGTTTATCTTGCATTTTACCCCAAATGTCACCATTTTGATTACTCATAATTCTTTGGCCTTAGGCCAGTAAATCAGGTGTTTACTATCATCAAAACTAAATTGTGACCATTAATTAGAAATATTGAAATAAGGCAATAGAATAAGACACTGGGCATTTCAGGGATGTGGATCTTTGGCTACAAATAACCTGGAAATAGCATCATTATTCTTTACTATGGTTTCCCCATAACAGCTTAACATGTTTTGGCTACTGATTTTAAAAAAATACCTGTCATAAATCCTACGTTTACTGAAAATGATAAGCAAAACCATCTTGTTAAATAACAGAATAGTCTTTTGAATAAACATTGATTTTTCTAGATAGGTCATTGTTTTTTATGCAATAGCTGAATTACAAGGTGCAGAGAGATATTTGGAAGATTTGGTCTAATCAATGATAGAATCATGTTCTCATCACATGGTGTCAGTTAATAGTCAGATTCACAATTCTTAACTAGTTCACTATTCAACTAAGGGACACACACACATACACACACACTCTCTCTCTCTCTTTTCTACTTATAAAGCCTGGGGAAGGAAATACCCTGAATACTCCTTCCTGTATTTAATTTAGGAGTTCTGGTGGCACAGTGGTTTAAGCAGTAGCTGCTAACCAAAAGGCTGGAGGTTTGAACCCACCAGCTGCTCTGTGGGAGAAAGATGAGGCAGTCTGCTTTCGTAAAGATTTATAGCTTTGGAAACCTCATGGGGCAGTTCTATTCTGTCCTTTATGGACTCTATGAGTAGAAATCAGATTAATAGTAGTGGGTTTTAGAGTTTGGTATTTAAAAACTGGCAGTTTCAGCCAATTAACTAAACTGGCAATTTGAGCCACCAGTCACTCCTCAGAAGGAAAATGGGGCAATCTACTTCCATAGTGATACTTCCTCGGCAACCCAAGGAGGGGTTGCTATGAGTTGGGTCCGACTCAATGGCACATAACAACAACAACAACCTAGAATGTGGTGGCTAAAATAACATTTGATACCTGTGAGGGCAAGTTTGCTTTAGCACAGGTGAGGGGTCTATTCCAAACCCACAGTTTGTATCTTGGGCTGGTCCAGGGAACTCACAAACATGCCAGTCATTTTGTATGGATGGCGGCTCAGGCCAACCAATTTCCTTTTCACTTTGATCATTATTATCTCAAATGCTAATACCTGGCACAAGAGAGGGCCATCAATACAATCTTAAAAATAAGTATTCATTGGGACTATCTGCGTGGCATTATTTACTCTTTGCTGTGCACTAATCTTCCCAAATGCTTTATTTGTTGCTGGCTAACATTGAATCAGTTCCTGATTCATGGGGACCCCGTGCAAACTCCGATCTGGTTGTTGTGAGCCACAGGATTTTCACTGGCTGGTTCTGTGGGGAGTAGATTTCCAAGCCTTTCTTCCTGGTCCGTCTTGGTCTGAGAGCTCTGCTGAGACCTGGTCGGCATCACAGCAACACCTCAGCCTCCACTGAGGAAGGAGGTGGCTCTTCATGGGGTGCACTGAGTGGGAATCAAACCCAGATCTCTTTCATGGAAGATGAGAATTCTGCCACTGAATCACCACTGTTCTTGTTTGTTTTAGTTGTGTAGTGTATCAAAGATACAAACTTCAGATAATGGAAATATGTAATTGTGATGAGAATTTCAATGTCAGAACACTGTAGCATGCAACTGAAGGCATGGGATATTTAACACATTCCCTACTGACTCCTGTGTGTTTCTGATAAGAGTGGTTCAAACTGACAGAAGCCAGGTTCATGCAGTTACTCTGCATCCTCTTCATCTGCCATGCAAATACTTAATCAGATAACTTCTGCCTCAAAAACCAACTTCACAATCTTTTCACATTAGTAATATTTAACAATTTCTGAAAAAAAAAAACTTAAAAATTCACTCACTTTCCTCAAGCACTAGGGTACTTAGAATACCTACTTCCAACCACAGTACAATCAACATGACTATATAATCCATTATTACCTCCCACTTTCACCAGACTGAAGCTATATGATCACATTTCTATCTATATTTATGAATGCTTTACAGTAATCAAATTTGCTTTCATGTTATTGAAATCTTCTGTATATGTATTCATAATGAGAATGTATACTTTCATACACATGGCATAACTAAAAACAAAACAAACAAACAAAAAAAAACCAAACTCACTGCCGTTGAGTCAGATCTGACTCA